ATCGATTGTCGAGTCCCTTTTTTTTTCCGCACTTCTCTGCGGCGAAACGAGCGCGGAGAAAATTTTTTATAAAACCAGACAAGGCACAGAATGCATAGATAAATATTTATTGAGAGAGTAAAGGCGAGTGGGAGATGTACAAAGGCTAAGTCGATAATTTGAAATGATAAAAACTCTTGGATTTTCGAATCTCCCTTTCCCTGGCGACATGAGTCGGGGAAAAGTGTGGAAAAAAAATTAGACCCGGCGGAAAATCCGTCGATAAACGTTAACTAAAGTAATCGAGCGAGGAAAGGCGACCGGAGGAGAGGTGAACAAAGTGTGGGAAGTAACAATGCTCTGGAGGTATTACCTCGGAGTCAGCATTTCCACAGCTCTCTCGGCCCGTTCCGGCAGTCCCATTCACCCCGAGAACTCTTGCCCAGGGAAGAGCGATAACTTTTCACGAGATTGTTCAATAGATCGCCTAAGACCCTGCCGACCCAATTAGCAAATAAATAGAGCTCCGCGGAGGCAGGAGACTCCCCGGCCAACGGGGCGAGATAATAAAGGTGCAAAGCTGGAATCCGCCCCCGAAGCTGCGCATTGTCTCCGAGGGTGAATTCCCCTAATTGCCACCTGTCATTACCCCCCCGCGTAATTGTAATGCGCGATACCGGGCGCCAAATCGATTATCTCGACCCCTCGGGAACCCCCGAAATCACCCTCCATGAAAATCTCGGTTAAAATAGAAATTACTTGCGAATCGCGCACGATCGAAAAGAGGGGAAACTCCTTATCGCAGGAATATTAAACTGTGATCGTTGTATAAATGAACTGCAGGAGAAGTAAATGAATGAACTCCTAAGTAAATGGCCACTTGGAAAGATTCCCAGAATATTAATTGCGAAAGGATTTTCGCACGGCTCGATCGGACGGACAAAAATCGTATCTTTTTGTAAACCGCCGTCCCTTGACGAGGACACGACCCCTCGTGGAAGGTTTGCAACGAGACCATCTATCCTTGTCAATTCGGTGGTCCAGGGTGTGCCCAGAGGGAGGCTGGAGTACAACGAGCCGGGTTTGCGAGGATTACGTGTCGCGATAAAGTCCTGCCCAGGAGAAAGGCTCACCTCGGTATCGGCGAGCTCTGCCTCGGAAATGTTTCCGTTCGCCGAGGTCTTTCTCCGCACTCGCATTTCTCCACTTTTATTTCTCCGCCGCGGATAAGATATCCGGAAGCGGGGCCCGCGTCTCCGGGAAAGCTCCGGGAGAAAAAATCCGATACGGACCGATGACCGGGATGGAAACAATGGCCGATGGAAGGAGGGAAAGTTGTACGTCGGGGATGTATGAAATAATGACCCAGAAGTACCTCCCATTGGGCGGAATCGGAAATCGATCGGATGCTGCGCCATTGAATCATCTCGAGTAGGCGCGAGTCTTCGCGGAGGACGGAGGATTGATAGTCACCGATGACTCGCGTACCCTCGGTCAATCTTTAGATATCAATTCCGCGTACATGCCCAGAGGGTTGCAAAACGGTGGTTACACGTTATCCGCATTAAAAATGGAGTCGAAAAGTCCTGTAGGATTTTCTTCCCCGGTGTACCATTCGCTTGTAATAATTAATTGAAAAACGATTAACCAGCCGCGGCTGATTCGCGCGCTTCGAGAATCGAAACACCTGGTTGGCTACTCTTCAATTAATTATTACAGGTGAATTATACTCCGTAGAGAAAACTACCATAGGACTTTTTGACTCCATATTCAACACGGATAGCCTTGGGAAAACCGTGGGAAAGAATTCTGAGATACCCTGTGTATACAAGGCAGTGTTATCTGAAATGGACGCCCGCGTTTCCGCGAGGAGGAGACGCGAGGAGAAGCCATCCGCGAAAGAGGCGAAGGCAAAGGCTGCATGGAACAGTGACCCAGAAATATCGAATAGGCTCAGCCAATTGGAAATCAATTGGACACAGCAAACATCCAATCGTCTGGGCTAACTGTAAAGGTCCTCTACGAATTGGCCCCTCAAAGGAGATCCCGGGCGACCCGGTGCCTCCGGCGCTGCAGTTTACGTGGCTGCAACTGCACGCGAGGATGCACCCACGTGCCTGTGTCTCGAGGATATCTTCCCTATCAGTTATATCCCGGAAAACCGGTGCTCCACTTTCTTCCCCGAGGAGATCCTTTGTCTCCGTCCGCCTTACCCTCGGAAACCCTCCCATTCTTCGGATTAATTAACAATTTCTTGTACCCTTACATTTTTTTACTTCGATGACGTCCGTGAATTTTTTTTATTTCCGAATTTTTTAATTTCGATGACGTCCATTAGAGCGTCGTCGGTGGTACGGGATGTTTCACGAGGGAAAATTGATACACATTGTCAGGGAACAATTACGAATATGGGGAAAATGGAATCCCACATCCTGGCCTGGACTCCCATCGACTGGTGGCGCTTTATAAGCTCGCATTTGCATTTTCGTGCTTTTTAGAGAGGCAAAGGGTGCACTCCCGTCCCTGCATATCCGCAATTCTCAGTGACGCATCGGTATGCGCACGTTCGGAGCCTTTGAGACGCCATATAGAGGCATACGAAACGGCCATTTCATCGCCCCGTATTGGCAGAACTTCTGACATACCCCGAGCATTGCTGCGTCATAGCCAGCCAGGGTTAAATGCAACTGCAGCTTGCATATATGCGATGTTTAAACATGTTTTCCAGCGGGTAAATAAGACGCATCGATTTCCCTGACCCTCCCAAAACGAGATCCTTCGGAGACAAAATGACACTTTGTCACCCTCTTGCCTTTCTCATGGCTTTTTAATTATTTTCCGCGACCTTTGTTACCCATACTTTGTTATAAAAAATGTATTCGACTTGTGAGGATTTCGGTTTATTTCGGAGGGATTTTTGGCGCCCTCGATCGAGCGGAAAATTCAAGGCCACCTTTCGGACCTCCTATTCCTATCGGTGACTCGGGATAATGGGGTGAGAGGGAAACTTTGCCGAACTGAGGTTTCCCGTGGGAACTTCGGTGATCGAGTTGGTAACTGTTGAAGAGGAATAAAATTGATGGAATGCAAAAAAGAGAGACGGGGTCCTGGAAACCCGAGGGATCTCTTTCGGAAGTTTCCTGCCAGATGGTGGAGGCGGCATTGAAATCTCCGCCGAGATGCCTTACCAGGCGGGAGTTAACGACTGTCGGTAAACTCGGGAAACTTTGATTTCAATTGGATTTAAATTTAATTCCCGTTTGTTTTGCCGCCGTAATGAATTACTGGATGGAGCTAATTATTGCGGGGAATTAAATTGAGATATAATCGAGGCTGGGGGGGATTTAAATCCCTGGGGAAGTCTTTCCAAGGCTTGGTCTGTTACCGACGCCATCTTGGCGCGTCCGACAATGCAGAGTATTACCCTTGCAGCAATGTCGACGGTGCAGGTAATGATTTATTATAAGGAGGGAGTTCGAACGATTAAATTAACCGCGTGGAATCTCGTTTCCCCTGGCTTCCTGCATTTCTCTATTTCCGGGGGCTCCCATTTTCCCACGGTTTTTCCTGGTTTTCCAAGCGCCTCGCATTCGGCGGCTTCTCGCAAACCCAATAAAATCCTGGAGGAATTTCCCGGCGATTCTGTTGCGAACCGAGTTCCGGACTCAAGGTTGCAGAATCAATTCGTCCCGTCGAACTTCCCGAGGCAAAAGGACGATATCACGCGGAACTTTTCAATTGGGAAGGAGTAGGTTTCCCTGAAGATTTCCTTCGGGGTTACCAGACCCGAGGGGTTGCCACAACCAGGAACGAACTTCCTGGCGATTGGGCCGATACTTAAATGCGACACTTAAACTTCGTCGGAAGGGTCCCACCTTTCCAAGTAATTCCTGCAACAATGGGCGGAAAAAAAATTAAGCTCCTCGAATAAATCCACTATCTCGGAAAATGTCTATGATGTCCATTAATAAATTTCTAAACGTCGAAATCTCATGGGTGTCAATACCTTCCTCATCGTCTCCATGTCCGCATTGAAAGTCTGAAACGTTTCGACAGAACTACTTCAGAGAAAAGTTTCATAAACGAGACCACTCTCTTAAGGAGTCCTTGAGTCTCAATTTCACTAATCGAGGCCAATTGAGCATTCGAAGACCTGACAATGGCTCGATCTCTCATATCCTCGAAAACCGATATCGCCTTTTCGAGCCCCGCGGGAAAACGGTAGGTTTCCGTAAATGGAATTCTTCCAAGCACTCTAACGCGACTTTCCTATCTTTTCCTTATTTTCTCTTAGCCCTGGAGCGATGTGACACTCCAGTCGGCAGACGCCCATTCTAGAGCCCCAGTCGAATCGATTATTTCGGCGAGGACACGAAATCCCCGAAATTACCTCTCGCGAGTCCGTAGACGCTTCTAATCACCTCGCGAATCGATAACGGAAGGGTGTTCGGAAGGGTAGAAAATTTACGAATTTAATTAACTCCCAGAGAGATCCCGTAATACCTCGGCCGAAGCATCTTCCTCCATTATGAACCAGTCCCATCGCATCGGAGAACAATTGAGACCTATGTAGGAACCACTTGTTGCTCTGCCAGACATTAAAGCTCCGGATCCGCCTCGAATCTTCCCAGCATTGTTTCCACGAGGAGGCTGATTTATTCACAATTCGTCCGCTCGGGAAATAAATGACAGATAAAGGGAGAAAAGGAGAAGAAAGAAATACCTCGATGCGAGATCAAAGTCCCCAGGAAAATGAAACCCGCGAAGGATAGCCACAGGAGGTGGAGGACCCACCGAAGACTAGAAAATGCCTCGAGGAGGGAGATAATAGATAAATAAATAAATAGAAAATTTTATGGGATACAGACATTGACTGGGAGGATGGCTGGGAATTTTACGAATGTTTTAAAATGCATGACAAATACCGCGGACGTTTACAGGAAATGCAGGACTCTCGAAGGCACCGCTTTTAACACCGACAAGGGAGGCCATTTTGGACCTCTTGGGCACTCTGGAATATTTCAGACAGGTTCGGAAAGGTCCTTGCATCCCTCGGGAGAGGACGACCTGCTCCTGCAGGGAGTGCAGTTCTCACTGGACTCGTCCCTCCTGAGTTTACGTTCCCTTTCGTCATCCTCTTCGACATCTCGCTCTCTGCCTCGTTCCAGGTCTTTCTTATAAATCTCTGGATCCCCCTGGGTCCCCCATTGTTTATCTCGATCTTCCTCTTGATCCTTCTCGAACAGGGAACACTTGACGGCGCCCTTCGGCTTCTGTTTCTTCTTCTTCTTCGGGGAGTCGCCGCATATGCACTTGAACTTGTCCTTCTTCGGCTTCTTCTTCCTCTTCGCCTTGCACCCCCGGGACTTCTTCTTCCTCTTCTTCGCCTTCTTCCCGCACTTGCACTTCGACATTTTCCCCTTTTTCTTCGACTTCTTCTTCCTCCTACTTGCCCCCTTTTTCCCGCAACCCTGACTTTTCCTCTTCCTCTTGGCTTGCTGGCGCTTCCTGCAGCAGAGATTCAGGAGTCCCAATTCTTGGGCAGCTATTTCCTGGTAATCCGTGTCATTGTCTGTTGGCAAGGTATAGTGTCCATCCGCCTTCTTCAGGATCCCATAAGCGAGGCCGCGCTTCAAGGCGGTCTGCATCTACCGATGTCCATTTTTTTTTTTAAATAGAAAAATACATCATTTTCAAAAATTAATCGATTATTCGTTATCTCATCCAATTGATGAGAAACACCAACCTGACGTTTGACAGCGGGCTCGGGGGAATCGTAAATGGCGGAGATGTAATTCAGGATCTCCTTCGAGGTGGACCCTCGAATTTCACGGAGGTTCTTGATAGCGGATATCACCAAGGCGAGTGCCTTCGAGGTCGGGTTCACCATGATTTATCATTGATTACGATCTGTCCGATTAGCTGGAGATGAGACTAATTTTTATCTTCGTCGCGAAGCACCAATGAAATAAAAAGGATACGAGCTGATATCGGTAACAAATTAAATGTCTTTACCAGCACTGGACGGCTGGGGCCTTCAATCCATGACTGAGAATTTTCTTACCCCTTTCCGAAATTCTAGCCCCCTAATTTGTAATTCACCCTCGAAGTCTTGACATCGCGAATGTCTTTTCGGGGAAAGACAAATCCTGACAGCGAGTCAATTGTTCTATATGCGAGTGCAAAAATGGGAAGCCGTGAACGATAAGTTTGGATTTAAATTTACGGTGTTGCAGCTTTCCTCCTCTGGTGGACCCCCTACAGCACGATGACGATGATCTACATGTTCTTCAAGCCTGAGGAACGAGTCAGTAAATCGAGAACCTCTCCGGAACGCAGTCCGAGATTAATTAAACAATTACAATTGAATATATCTAAATTCTCTTCCAGTTGAGCGAGGACTTGCAAAACGGAATCTTCTTCTTCGGCATGAGCAACAGTTTGGTAAATCCTCTAATATACGGAGCTTTCCACCTCTGGCCCCACAAAAAGCACCGAGTCGGCAACTACAGGTAAAAGCATTCCTCGGAAGCATAATTATCGATTCCCGAGCCAATTGAAGGACCAATAAAAAATGTACATTCTTGCGCGATTTTAGAAACAGGCCAATAATGGATCATCGCAGTATTGACATATCGGTTTGACGAATAATGTGAAATTTTAGCCAACATACGCAAAAGATGTTCAAAGCTTCCCATCGAGTCCAAAAAAAAAAATTGGAAACGAGTAAAGCGATTATAAGCCTAGGCACGGAAACTAATTTAATGATCTCCACGCCGCAAGAAGTTAAAATAAAAAACAATTTATTAACGACATAATTACAATAGTATATTCTGCATGTGGAAAGCAATAGTATTCCTCTTTACACATCGTTTCCCCCCTCGGATTGTTCGATAATCAATCTTTCATTTTTTTTATTTTTAATTTAATCACAAGCCTACTATAAAATATCTGCATTCACTTGTCACTTTTTTTTTTCTCCTTTTTTGCGTGTACGTGATTTCGGCCTAATGACTCCCCACCCTAGTAGCCGTAATGTTAGAACTTTAGGCGTGATATCGTTTTAATAAGCTGTCGGCCTTAAACGCAGTCGCGTGAGTTTCGGGTGACTTAAACCATTATTGGATTATTTTCAGCGTCCTCCTCAAGAGTGGGCGCTAAAAAATAAAAAGAGAGAAAGAGAGAGAAGAGGGACGATACGCCGATGCACCGAAGTGCAGGGATGCACGCCCCCTCCACGTGCTCGATTTAAAAAGAATCCCTACGTCTTAACACTGTGGTATAGCCGCGAAGGGCCTGCTATTTAAGGCTACGTAAATCCAGCTAATGAAATTCTGCTAAGTTACTGTACAAAAATTGGGGATAAAGTTGAAGGGAACCATTGAGACGCGCCACAGATCCGTACAGTCGCGACGACCATATTTCTCCTCTCATTTTCTCCAACAAGCAAATAATAGTCCACGGATTTCCTCGCAAACATCGTCGTTCGGACTTGGTATATCTCCATAGAACTGATCATACGACCGCAGGTAATAAGAATAAGACGTACAGAACCGAAAGGAGAGGGAAAACAAAAAAAGAAGAAGAGTAAGAAATTCCGAGACAATTCGAAACCCTGGATTTCCTACAAGCCCAAAAAGCTGAGACTTCAACGAGCGCCTCAATCGGTAATACCGTAGATTTCCGACCGACGAAAACAACCAATGGAAAGTCGAATTTCCGTACATCTTATTCCTCCCGCGATTAGTGATACAATGGACGTAAAGTTCCTCCTCGAGCGAGTAAAAAATGAAGGCCTGGGGCCCTGCCAAACAAATGGGACCTTGTACCGAAACGTAAGACCGAGTAGACACGAACGGTCGTCTCGTTCGGCTCGATTCGTATTTCATTATCACAATATAGATATATCCCGACATCGAGATAGGTCGGCCGAGCTTGCGTCTTTAGTCCGTTCCGCGTGTACGAGAGCGAAAGCACTCCCCCGAAAGGAAAAGATAGGGAAAGGGGGGAAAAAAAAATAGAAGTGAGAAATGAGGAAGGAAACGGAAAAACGGGACGTACAAGTACATCGGAGGGAGAGCGAATTACGCAAATACGATGCAATACATGCGCCTATATACCCCTATGCAAGTCGGCAGCGAGTTAACTCTTGGACGCTCTAAATTGCCGGAAAGTTCGAAGAAGGGTGCAGCACGTTTTCCTGCCGGAACCTAAGACATCGGGAAACGCTTATACTAGGGCGATCCAAATCGGGCCTTAGGTCCCTTCGAGGCCTAGTTTCGAGGCTGGTACCTATAATCGCGTGTAGAAAATATCTGGAAGATGTTACCTCCCTCCCCGCGCCCGTTGGACCACCCTAAACAACGTCGACTTAACATCTACGTAGCGATTATCGAAATCAGCTAGGAGAGATCAGCTACGGTGGCCAATTTTCCAACGCGACAGTCAAGCATTTGCGCGCACGTTAAGACCATCTAGGATTAAGGCTATGTGAAAGTGGCGTCAAGGATGTCCCATTTATGAAACTCATCCCCAATGGAGAGTACCGAGTCGTTTCCAACCTGACAACGAGATTGCAGAGCCTAAAACGAAGGTCCCTACCCCCTTAAGACTTCAATTTTCTTTTCTTAATCTGTTCATATTTCTAAAATATTTCATGAGACATGAAATTTCACGGGTGCCGGGACCATCTTTACAGCCTCCGCGTCCAGGTTGTAATGTTTGAAACCAATCGGTGCCCTCAGTTTGGAGAAAAGTCAGACGAACGGTTGAGCTTCCGGATGCCGCTTTCAGATCCCCTTAAGACGAATAAAACGTGAGTCCCTCGACCCACCCCGTGAGATTTCCAACTCGCGATGTACGTAACGAGAGCAATTGATAATACAACCGATCGAGCGAGTCGCATCCCCAGCCTCGTCCGCCGCCCCTTAATGACACCCCAATCCCCTCGTTACATATTTACAGCGTACACCGACAATAATTACCGCGATCTACTCGACTCCTTTAACTCGTCTGAATACGTGTACATTAATGTTAATGGTGAGATTACGTGTAAATACATTGACAACTTCGGTTAACGGTCATCGGCGGTCGCAATCATCGTCCTCCTCAATCGCCAGGTTATCGGTGTCGCTATCAGTGCTAAGGCCGACGACACGATCATTATCGATGCTATCCATGATCTTACAGCACCTCCGAATTTCGCGAAATTCTTCCTGGAATGTAAAGGAAGCTTTTTCGGTAATAACGCATCCTATCGTCGGCGCTTAGCAGGGCGCGTCACCGTCTTCGGCGTCGTCTTCATCGTCTTCACTTCCTTCGTCAACCCCTTCGTCATCTCGACATCCTACTCGCGCTCGGTACATCTAATTAACACCTTAAACATATCCCGTGTAACACACATATTCTCAAGAGTTCCTCGCGATCGTCGAAATCATCCACTCGCATACTGTTTCCAGGGCACCGGCGAACCTGCTGCGACGAAGGCATCTTGTGGCTATTGGCTGTATTTAACGTTAAAACTTCTCTCTAAATAAATCAATCGCAATCGTATTACGCTTACTTTTACATATTAGCATTGGACGTCAGAGCATGTGTACTCAACGGCGACAAGAGAGACTAAACCTTTACGGGCTCGCTAGTTGTTCTCGGCTTTAAATTACAGTCCTCGCGGTCATTAACACTTAGCGCGATGCAGAAAATAGTTTTTGCGGTTTGTTTAGCTCCGTTTACTATTTCTTATCATTGATTTTTTTTTTCCTCTCCCCCTTTAGTCGTAGGTGGGTTAGTTTATACCTCGTAACCCTAATCGCCCCTCGGTGCGAGGAGGCACCCGGGGGGCTTGCTCGGTGCAGGATGCACTTCGCGTGCCCATCTCTCGCGAGATGTATGCATCAGCTCCTCGGGAAATGTACAAAGCTTTGAGGGTCGCGAGAAGAACCCGGGGGTCTCGGGAATTAACCAATCCGGAATTCCACGCGTTCCTGCCCCCCCAAGAAATGCATCTCGCCACGGCGCGAAGTGGGTCTCCATCCGTTGCACTTGAGAGAACTCGGTTATTCACAAATTCGGAGGAATATACAATATTGTTCTTGTACCCTGGTGGACGTGAATGCGTTCCCATCATAGATTGTCGACCCTACATCAGCAGGGAAGGCATTTACAACCGCCACTGTACTTGATTAGGAGCCCGACAGTTCTGTATACTTAATTTTTAAGGATCGAGCTCCTGGACTGGACCAAAAAAAAAGGACATTAGAAATTAATTAAACGGGGTACATCTTTTCTTGCTGGATCCGGAGCGTGTACAGGTTTCCATGAGCGGATGCGTCCGGACGCACGTGTCTCTTGTCATCCCTTGACCGTCTTTCGATCCTTCCTCTCGCTACCTTTATTTTATTACCGGGGTGCCCTGGCTATCAGCATCCTCTTGACAGGAGTCGTGAATCTTTACGCGGCCTGAAGAAATCGCAGAGCGTACATTCGACGGAAATGCGTAAACGCTCCCTCTCGAGGGTGAATCGAATCTCCAGCGGACCAGAGACCTTTTAATTTCGAGGTAAGCTGGGATCTTAAATATAGAAGCACTCGATCGTAAGACCGATGGCTAGGAACCTTGCTAAGGCAGCGGAAAAGATCCGAACCGTAAAAACCGCGTTTTTACGTCTTTTACGCTTTTTCATTGTCCTTCGCCGTGGAAGTGTCGCGCCAACAACGCGCTCACCTTGCCTCCTTTTCCTTTTAAACATGTACAGCACATGTACCTCGCCCTGCTCTTGAACCGTCAATTTCCCCCGAACAATGAGACGCCGTGAGATCAAACCACTACAGCCTCGCAAATCGAATAATAAACCCGTGGACTCCTCCATTCCGCGTTCCAACGCCCAACTAATGTGCCCTATAACAAGACTGTACAATTAAACGTTAACGTAATACCGTTGCCGCGTTAATTGCAGAGAAAATCTCAAGAGAGAGAGAGAGACTTCGATGCCAGCAAAGACATGGACAGAAAGTTCCTACCGAAAAGCGCCTAATTTTAGAAAGCATTTCTTATATAGCGTTCCAAGTCCCCATGGCGTGTAAGAGGTTATAACCGAGGAGGGCGTGAATGATCTGAAACGCCTTCTTTCGCGGCGGGAAAGGCAAGAGGGACCTGGGAGCTGAAGAAGACACATCTCTTCGAGTTCGACCACGTATATCCGTCGAATGTACCCTTAAAGCATCCGCGGAACATCGATAGGTGCGATCTATCGGCATGCACGCCTAATAACATATACATGCGAGGATCCAGGTGCAGAGTGACCTGCGACCCCTCGTTACACCGTACCACAGAGAGCTTATTATGCTAGACGCGTCGAATCACTTCCGATTTGAACATTCGACCTGGGTCGAGACCCGGGACGAAAGATCAAAGCCATCGCGACCTACCAAGACCCCACCGTGGGTAAACAATCACCTCCACGTGTCGTTTCCCGCCACCCCACGTGTCATACGTGCATCGTGACACTCCCAAGGTGCATCCACATAGTCCTGGGCACAGAAAGTCGCGGGTCAAGGGTCAAAAATCCGGCACCCTCCTTCCGGAATCGTCGTGCCTCTCGGTACGGATACTCCAATAGTCGTGGTCGGATGTCAATCTCGTTGCTTAGGTGGTAATCGTGGACCGTACGTGTCTCGTGCTCGCATCGCATATCCTATGTACAGACAGAGAAGGATCGTTCGTTCCTGAATGCCGAGGGCTGGAGTGTTGCTGCCAATCGCTGGTCGGATCAGCCATCGCCTCGAGACGACGGGAACGGCGGGTGTGTCTGATGTACCAGGGCTGGGATTCCAATCGGGTCGCATTGCTGATTGCTGGCGACCGAACAGCCTGTCGGGGGTTGCTATTTCTTGGTAGGCGTACCGCGTTGCGTCAGACCTTCGAATCGCTTGAACGTGTAGTTGATGAAGACCCAGTCCTTGTATATCACTTCTCCATCTTGCGGCAGTGGAGCTGACGCTAGAGCGGATCAGGCAGAAACAAGGTGTCGATTAAATGCTGGGAGGTGGACAAGGTGCCGACAAAGGGGACTCAGTGTCTGATAAAGTGATCGCATACGTATTTCGAGTTTCACGTCCGGGAACTCGTCGAAGTTCGACGTGTCGTCGATGGACCTCACTTCGACCGGAATGGCAGCTGGTCTTTCTCTGATGTGCTCCCAGTCGACACCGCGGAAAAAGGGGGCGAGCTTCAGCTCCTCGATGCCTCTCTGAGAGCCTGAAATCGACGTAAACACAAATGAAATGAGAATCAAAGTCGACGTCCCAGGAAAAAGAGCCAGGAATCTGCTCTACTCGCATAGCCCACCGACCTAGTCTCCTATCGGCTTCGCAGCAGAACCTGATGATCGTATCCTTGGCCTCCTCGCTGATGGGCACTTCCGGAGGGAAAATCAACGTCTCGCGCCAGTTCATGACTTTTCGGTAAGTTTCCTGAGGATTTTCGCTGCAGAACGGGGGATACCCTGGAACGAACGGAATCGGTCGTCAGGTAATGGTTCCTTTTCTGGATCAGGCTTGAATCTGAACGGCGAGACCGACCTATGAGCATCTCGTACATGATGACCCCGAGAGACCAGCAGTCGCAAGCAGGCCCATACCCGGTCTGCAGAAAGACTTCCGGGGCGATGTAATCAGGAGTGCCGACGGTGCTGTAGGCCAGTGCTCTTCTGTTTCTCTTCCAGCTCTCGGCTCTCCTTTTGCTGTCCATCGCCCCGCCGCTCCCGCTTCCGCAGGACGTCACTGAAAGAGAAAAAAAAAGGAAACGGTCTCAGACGTCGGTGAGGAAGAATAGACAGCCTGTTGGCGATTCTTTCGGAAGTGGGCCTCCTTACTGAAGTCGGACGGTTTCGCCTGGCTGAGGTCCCGGTAGAAGTCGGTCCTGTGGGACTTCTTTAAGCCGGTGCACAGTCCGAAATCCGAGAGCTTTATGTGGCCCCGTGCGTCCAGCAACAGGTTGTCCGGCTTGATATCCCTGGAATGAGAAGAGGACCGTTGTCAACCCGTCCCTAGCCTAGCTCTCACCCTAGGCCAACGAATTCTCAGACTCACCTATGAATAAAACCTAGCTTATGTATGGAGTCGATGGCCAACGCCGTCTCCGAAATGTAAAACTGCGTGCACTCCTCGGACAGCGTGTCCTTCTTCATAAGGAGGGTCATCATATCGCCTGGGAATATTAAAAACGAGTTTATTAGGACCTGGGAACGGGTTCCCTTTCGTTCGGAGTCGACCGCCACCTTTCGAGGCGAGGCACTTTTTCCGGCATAAATCATCGAGGTAAACGGGGACCAAGGGTACCCACCTCCGGGCAAGAACTCCATGATGAGGTACAGGTTGATCGGGTCCTGGAAACTGTAGTACATCTTGACGACCCACTGGTGATCAGCCTCGACGAGGACGTCCCTCTCGGCCCTTACGTGGGCGACCTGCTCCTTCTCCAGCATGTCCGCCTTCCTCAGGATCTTCATGGCGTACACGTGGCCGGTGTCCTTTTTCTGCACGAGTCTCACCTGTCCGGGGAAAACGTCCGTTAGCACTTACTCTCCACCTCGGTGTACGATAATTACACGCTCGTAAATTTCTTCGAGCTCGGTAACCCGCTCATAACGCTCTAAAGTGTTTTAAAGGAGACCGGCAAAAAGTGATCTTTAAGTCCTCGTTAAAAAAAAAAAAAAGAGAGAGAGAGAAAAAACGCGCACTCCTATCTCAAGGATCGATATCAGGCTTTCTCCGTTACTTCACCGATTTCAAGGAAACCCGTGCTAGCGTTCCCGGGGGCTTGTTATCACAATCCATACCGCTTTTACCGCTTTTTACCGAGAAGGTCCACCCGAAGTACTCGTTACACGTCGTTTCGTAAGTTCGCGGACGAATTTTCTTTCCCAGAGAATTTTTCTTTAAGGAGGGAATCGCGTGCTCAAACGAATTTGGCTCGAGGCTCTACGGAGTTTCTTGATAACCGAAAGTGGAAGAAGCGATCGATACGCGATTCCTTTTGTCGGGGGCGATGGATTCCTCGCCGTTCGCAAATTCTCTCGGGATTTATCTTTTGGTAGAACGATAGATAGGATCCGCACATCTTGGCTGAAATTACAGGCGGTGAGGCGCTTTAGCCGCGGCGGTCTACATTAAGCGGCCATATTTCTCGTTCTTCAAGGTCCCTCGGTGGAATTACCTCGCCGAAAGCACCTCTGCCAATGACTTTGAGGGGCTCGAAATCCTCGACGCCGAGCCTGGAGCGCTTCAGCCTGAGGAACTCGGTCTCCTTCTGGGCGTGCTGCAGCCTTTTCTCCTGCTTTTGTTGCTCCGAGAGGCCCTCGTCCTTCAAGGATTCCTCCAGCTTAGCGAGCCTCTGCTTGCGCTCGATGTGCTGGGCTATCAGGTTGCTGTAGTAATTCTCAAGCGTCACCTGAAAGAGTGCAATTAGCTAAGTGACAATCCCTGCCCCTGGGCTCGAGCGCTGCCTAAAGAGTGGCGAAAACCGACTACCTTAATTGCGACCCGGGGAGGAAGTACTAATTTTAGAAAAATCCATACCATCGCGCCGCCTCTACTCGCGCTTACTATTCTCTCTTTTCCCTGCAGGTGCTAGGGACCTGTATGAACTTTTTTTCCCATTTTTTTTTTTACATAATTTCTGCTCGATCGTTACCTTCGCCTTTGTGGCCTTGTCCAACGTGTGACCGCTGAATCTGATTGTACTCTCGGTGGCCGCCATCTCCAGCACCCCTGGAAAAGACCGGAAAAATCGTACTTATTAGTAACCACTCGATGACCAATTTTAAGATCGTTAGAAATATTAATACAATTTTCGGAGAAATCTAAGGGAAATTTGATAATCGAGGGGAGACTCGCTAAGGTTAAACGAAATGTCACCCTGCAGCTGGGCCTCGCCGAAGAGTCGAACGACGAAGCTGAAGATCTGCATGACAAGTGAAACGAACTGCCAGGGAGGAAGATAAATGGCGAACCGCCTACGTGGGAGCACGTGGCCCAGGAGATGACACCCAGAGATGACGACCTCACCACCGAGGCATCGCCACTGACAGGGACAGCTCCTACACATTCTACGTATCGGGTGACTGCGGAGATTCCGATTTCAAGGCCAAGCCTGTGGAGGTGACCAATCGGTGAAAGGCCAAAACGCCTTTCGTTCCATCGATTCCAGCTTTCCCCCAAAAACCAATTTTTTTTTTCCCCTCCCCAAGATCCACCGTTAAAAAGTACTGCAATCTCATGACACACATTTTCGAAACTTCCAATCGGACACGATGCGTGTAGTTCAGTTCTTCCAGAATATTAAAAAAGAAGAGAAACCACTTAAACTCGCACCCACTATCAGCCTCTCGCGCTATCAACCTGGCGATTCGAACGGCGTCGACAGTCCGCAAAGAGGAGTCCCTGAAGAACTGAACGGAGGGTAAAAATAAGATGAAGCGAAAGAGAGTGGCCCGATAACGGAGGCAGTGAACTCGTATCGCAAACAGGGTGATAAGGGAAACTCTTGTCCGCAATTCCTCCTTGTAGGCGTTCGATTCCTGGAGCCCTGAATCGTGGCTGGAAGTGCGTGACGCACCTGAAGAGTCTGAAATCGAGGCTGACGAATCCCACATACCCGGAACCGACCTGAGGAGACTTTCTCCGGTCCACGAGGTCGCCGTAAATCGGAGAAAACGTGAAGAAAAACACCGTGAAAAGAAAAAATAATAATTCATCGAACCAAAGAGATATTTCATTGAATAGTACCAAAGAAATGCATTTTTACTTCGAGGAATAACAATTTGGCTCATAAACAATCACAATTTCGAGTAAACGTCGCGTCTAATTTATTTGATTTTTTTTTTAGTGAAATAATTATTCCTTGAATTAACAAAATATTTCTTTGATACCGTTCAATGAGATATTTCCCACGTTGAATGAAAATTCGTTTCCAGGGAAAGAGTGGAAAGGAGAGGGGAGCGTCATCCTCGGCTCAGCTTCATGAAGTGGCGCGAAGAAGCGACGACGAAGAACGAAGAGAGGTTTTTGAGAAGCCGACCGAGGTGGTGTCATCCCGGTGAATCAGCCCGAGGATTGCGCAATCGAGCACTTCGGAAAATCACGAAGTGCACTCCACCGCCTAGAGCCGATGTTTGCTCACCTGCTCGACACGCGTTGTACGCGCGCAAGAAGTGGAGGTAGACCAGCGAATCGGAAAATACGGCGGAAAATCGAGAAGGGCTCCCTCGGCCCCATGGAAAACGCTCCTCAGGATGAGTTCGGCGAAGCCGAGGTCACAGCCGACGTGGAAATCGCGAGGTAATGCCATTACCTGGGGAAACGTAAGCGAAGACCCACGGTACCGGGCACAGGTAAATAGGTACAGGTGGACTATATACATTTATTATATATTTTAGTATATATTCCGCATTTTTTTTATGGAGCAGGAAGGGCCGCGAGGGTGTCGATGGAGGACAGGAGAGGAGTTTAATCAGGGTCTGTCGAATTATTCCCTCCTATCCCGGACTTTTCCTTCGACCTCGAGTCAGACCTTTTGCGGAGGTACCGCGAGATCTCCCGGAATCGCATCTCGCGTGAATCAGACCTCGAAAGATCGGCCGAGCGTGGGCAGACCCGACAGGGACAACAACTTCCAGAGCTAGAGAGAGCTAGAGAGAGTGTCGGGCTCCCTCACAATGGCGCGTTATTCTAGCCGAGGGTCAGCCTTGGAGCCTATTAAATAATGCCCGTGACCGAGTGTCTTTACGACTGTTTACCCGACGACAAAATTGCGACGCGAATCGGCCGATCGACTCTAAAGGGGAGGCCCGAAGGCCGCGCACTTCGCCCATTTCCTGCACTTCCCTCCCTGCTCCCTTTCCACGGCGCGAAAAGTGCGCTGGAAAAAAAAAAAATCTGCAGTCCTGGAATTGTATGAAAAAAAAAAATAATAAATAAAAAATAAGCACCTTCTCGAGGCTCCCTGGAAATTGCAGCGTGCCGCACGATCGATCGCCATTGCGTGGCCGCCGGTAGTAATGGGTCGGGCAATCGCCGAGCACGAGTCACGCTCCCACGTAAAGAGAGATCCTTATTGAGCCGGAAGAACACGCTTTTCCCCTCCCCAGTTAGTTTAGGAATAATGGAAAAATCCGGGGAAAAAAATCATTTACACCTTGTAATTGCACCGTTAAAAGGAACGAGAGCCGGTCCCGTGGATGAAGATGCAGCCCTGATAGTGCGTGCAATCCGCGTGCAGGATAAGAGTCGAGGGGACCGCGATTAACCGCAATCACGAGTTTCCCTCGTGGCCGGAGTGCGTAAAGTACGCACCCGAGTAACTGTCGCGCGCCGTTGCGTCGACAGGTCGAAAGAAAGAAAGAAAAGGTCCGAGAATAGCTAAATAAAAAGAAAAGTAGAGAAAAAAAAAAGATATGCAAAATCGAGGAGCGCGCGACACTCCGTGCTCGCACGCACGCGCGCGGGGATACGCGCACGCAATGGAAAGCGGCATGCGGTAGTTAAATATAGAAATCGGTGCACGGACCCGAGGAACTTTCACGAAACGCGAGAGAGAGAAAGAGAGGGCCTCCGAGCGAGAGATCCGACACGCGGAATGCGAGTCCGGTAAAATTGATAAAATTGATAAGACTGATAAAATTGAGGAAAATCGACGAAACGCGGGAAATTCTTAGAGTTTGCGAATCTGAGGTCGCGAATGGGTCGGACGATCCTCGGGAAATGTGCGCAATGGTCCCTCCACCCGTGACGATAAATCGTTGCGACTTGCAATCTGCGCTGTTAAATCGAGATCTTCTCAGCGGCATGCGCACGTCATCCACAGGTATTCAATCTGTACGCGTCGGTTTGCACAGATTTCTCGCAACGACTCGCAACGTCACGGGTGGAGAGACCTCAATAGGTGTCAAGAGGCAGATCGATCGGGACCGATTAAAGCGTATCGACGGTGCCGCGTCTCGATACAGTAATGCCGGTCTTGCGTGAGGTACTTACAGGTAATTTCAAGGCCGGCCGTGCGTTACGTGCGCGGTGCACGGTCGCATAGGGCTTCCCTGCGATATTGCGGCCGGTGGATCTCGCCTGCAGGTTAGGTTATGTAAAGAACACGTGAGGTTAGGTCTCCGGAGAGCACGTGACGAGAGGGAGCCGCGGAGGACAAGTGCGTGGGTCGAGGTAGAGACCTACTTCGCCGGCGACGTTCTCGATAGAATGGAACGAGGGGTTTGAAATGCCATTAACGAATCTCCTTCTTAAGACGAAGGAGAAATATTACAGGAAGAAGGTGAAAATAAGAGGAGACGACCCCATGGGAGCCCCTGGGGACGTCGACGAGAGGCCCTCGTCACGAATTCGCGGGGCAATAAGGAGACCCGCGGCGGAATATCGAGGCGGGTGGATATCCCACTCGCGGCCGTTCCGCGCGGAATACTAATCCGCGAGAGAAGAGGCGGGGAGAGCGTGGGAGGCGAGTTGAAATTCAAGGTGCACCTCCAGGAGCAGTCCCGGGTCCGAAGACCCCGTCTCCTCTTCGGGTTCCCGGAGGAGGAGGCATCGCCCTGCGGAAACAGGAAAATCGACCACGGCTCCCCGGAAGTGGGCCGAAAGTGGCTCCCCGAGGACCGGAAGAGCCCCCACGAGGCTCCTCTCCTGGAGGGAAAAACGAGACAGACCTCGAAGAGATCTCGACGCCCGTTTATTATCAGGAATAACACCCGCGGCTGGGCGGACTCTTTTTATTTCCGCCGGCGGTTTACGCAAGGGTCTCCTCGCAGCTCGTTAAGGTACAAAGTAGAGGGAGCTCCGATTTAATCGAGGCGTGTATAAATAAGTCCAAGGCGCACCTCCGGGTGGTCGATCGGCCCCGATCATCTGGACGAGTTAATGTACGCGAAGTCGAAAGGCCACTTGCAGGAGTTCCCGAAGAGACCCTGGGATAATCGAGACCAGAATTTCCGACTCCCGGGTAGAGTAATTGGACGATTCTGGTCACGGGGTACCGTAACTCGACGGCGGATATATCGACTATCGATGCGCACCTCGGATAGGCTGCATCCCTTCTCGGCATCCTACGTGTGCATGGGTGTCATGTGCACCCAAATACATGTGCACCGGTACGTGTACCGCGATATACATATGCATCAGGGCACTCGTGCATCCTTGCACGGGTGCATCCACGAGATGGATATTCGAGACGACCAAGTGGAGGAGGAGAGGGGATCATAAAAAAAAAAGAGGAACCCCTCGGAGTGGACGGAGAGAGCATCCTCTTCCTCCATCGACAAGGTGTTATCCCGGTGGAAACCGTGCGAAAGTGAAACCGGAAGTCCATTGTATCGCCCAGGAAGACGGAAGATGCGCGCGTGGAGGATAAAGAGCGAGACGAGGCTTGATCCGAAGGATACGCATATTACGGAAGTGAAGTACCCCCAACTACCTGTAATTATCCACGCTAATCCGTTTTCTATTTTCAGGGGACTTTCCGAATTCCCTAACAATGAGTGCTACGAAAAAAAAAAAAGGAAATCGTCCGAGCGTGACATGCGTTAGAAAAAAATTCAAGAAGTGATTCGCGGTAATACGGTCCCCCAATTTCTTTCCGAACGACGTCCCTACGCCCTTCTTCGGTCAATCTTCCCAAGAAGCCATTCTGCCCAGAATTCAAAAAACGGCCATCACCGTTGCGGAATTCCGCAAAATCCATCGCGTTATCAGCCCCCGAGGTAGACGTC